TATATATATATATATATATATATATATATATATATATATATATATATATATATATATATATATAACATACCAGTTAATCGATTAATTATTTGAATAAGCGGAGAGTATTTTTTGTCTGTTTATGTAAACAGATAGTTGAATGAATTAAAAGTAGATTATTTTTTATAGTATATAAACAATAATAATAATAGTAATAATGACAATAAAAATAATAGTAATGATAATAATAACAATAAATAATAATAATAAATAATAATAATGATAATGGTAGGAACAGACATAACATTGCGCAGGATATGTTGCTTTTTATGTGATAGCGATCATTCAGCGACATTATCATCTCTCACATGATGATATATGGCAACCTTTTCATACGTCCGAAAATTCACTTATAATTAAAATAAAATATTTCCAAAGCTAAATTTACACGAAATTATCGTTATCTTTTTAGTGTTTTCTCTTTGTTTATTAAAAATAACCTGAATTTATTTGCAAATTTCTTTCTTTATATAAACAATTCAGAATTGTCCTGATATATTTAGATTTCTTTCGATATATCTGGTGTGGAACAACAGTTTCATGTTAAGATATATTTCAAACTTTTTGGATTTGTTTCTTTTTGTTTTATTCTTGTTTTGACATAGAATTGAATTGTTCATTGTTATATCAATTGATGGCAATGAAATTTTCAGCTTTCACTGATTTGAAATTGACATTTTATTTGCAGTGAATAATACTATTGGATGCTGCTGAAATTGTTACCAAGCAGATATGCTTATGCACAGTATTTCCGTTGAATGTGAAATTTTTATGTTATTCATGCTGTCTGTTTCCGTCAAGTCAACGTTCGGACAGTACATCATCGAAGTGGTATGTTCTTCAAAAATGAACTTTTGTTAAAAGTTTCGAAATCCATACTAATCAAATTAGGTAGCTTATTGTGACGTAAGGAACGTTAAGTCACCTAATGTTGTTGTTGACTGGGACGAAAAAAAGTTACTTTTACAAACTTCAAACAAGTTTGTATGAAGCTAATGCGTATTAGTGATTGAGTTAGGCATGTTCGTGAGAGGATAACAGATTAGGCAGAAAATTTTGCGAATATCCTTACGATGTATCTTGTAGAAGAGGGCGTTTAATCACACGATTGTCGAGAGTTAGATTTTGTGAAATTGAAATTCAGAATGTTAAGATAACTGTTCCACTAATGCAGGAAACTCTGTAACTAATAATTCATATTTGATTTAAGCATAGAGCAAATTTTGGTTTATCATTTTATTGAATACTGCATATAGGATGATGTGGGAGTTTTTTGTGGAGAAAAATTGAAGTTTTTAAATGTTTGTTTTTCGATTTTTTTTTTAAATTTAATGAAGAAATTTGCAGTGGGAACCGAGACCAGATGGGTTTCAAGCCGTATTGCAGTGCGATGCAACGGGTGCTGATTTCGGGGGTGAAATTCCAATGTTGGGTTTCAGTGCTAATGAAACTGGTTGTGCTTATTTTACAACACCTGAAGATTCTTGTCAGGATACTTTCGTAAGTTTATTTTATTTGAAATATCACTTTCAAAGACCGATTCGCTATTGGTTTTTACTTATCGATAAAAACATGTCTGCTCATTGTTCTCCAATTCTATTAGTGCTTTTTTCCGGCATCCACGAGATAGGTAGATCAATCTAACCACATCATGTTAAGCCAATTTCGGAATTACTATTCCTCATTGTCGTTGAATGACTGTTATTCGTTGAGGTTAGGTTTTTAGAGAATTTTTAAATCCGCTGTCAGGGTTTTACTCAAAAAGCCTAGTCCCAGAAGATTGGAAATATCGTGGTGTCTTGGGATTGGACAAATACGCTGCCGTAATCCAGGATCTGGCTAGAACAAAACTTCCTGCTTGCAAGTGATAAATATTGGAAAGAGAAGCATTTACAGAATAATCGGACCGGATGTATCAATTATTACGCAGTGGTACCTCGCGGTAATTGTAGCTTCTCCGAGAAAGTAAATGTTACGTTGTTATTGTTAGACGAAGATATATTTTTACTATACAGTTTTTTTTTCTTGTATTTTTAGCTTCCTTTAGGACTTCAATAGTTGTTGCTCTGCATTAGCAACCAAAAAGGATTTAATGTTCATTCAGTTATATGTGAATTAAATAGAAAATAAATGTTCCTCATTGTTACGTCATTTCTGTGACTGTGTCTTGTTAAGATGACGAATCTTGTGCACATAATAGCTATTTGAACTTTTTTTCCACTGTATATTTGGCTGATATGGAAACGGTAATGATTCTAGTGCAAAATTTAGGCGTACCATGTGCAAAAGGGATATCCGGATCCGTACAGTGCGCTGATTATATTTAACGATGATGGCCATTCACCGGTACCAATGGCTGGCAGTAAATATGCAGATCGAGTTTTGATTCCAGTCGTAATGGTAAGCCATGCATGCATGACAAATATGATGGGTCGTTTTTCGGCAGAGAAGGGGTTAGTTTAAAGGAACATTTTCTTTCATCTTATTTATTCTCCTTCCGTGTCTTGCATTATTTATTTTCATTCGTATGTTTTTATTGCTCTTTATCTTTCATCAGCTACGACTCCTGTCATTCGATCAAGAAAGGATGAATTTGAGATGCTGATCCTTCTTTTTCACTTCTCTAAGCGCGGTAGATATCGAAGTATGAAGAGCCTTTATTTATATAAGGGTTTATTTACTATTGCTTCTTTTGCGTGCTCAGTTGTTTTCTTATCCTTAATTATTGTTTTTCTCTTTCTAAATCTGTGTTAATTAAATTATACTCCTGTCTTTATACTGCGTTTTCCAGATATGTAGTTGCGATACGCGCTATTCCTGGATACTATGACCTTGTCAAGTATCTTATCCCTTTGATCGCCGTCGTTGCATTTTGTTTTGTTGTTCTTTGTATATCGTTGGTAAGTAATCGCTAAAACAAATTATTTGGGATTATCCTTAGTCGGTATAAAATTCTATCTATCATTTTGGTCGAATATGATGTTAGTTTTGTTAGCTTTTGCAAGTTACCGATGAATCTTCAGAAGTGTCGGCATCTAGGAAGGCAAGAAGGATTTAATTCAAGAACTGCTGGATAATAAACATCATTGACTGAGCGAAAATCCTTATGTTGCTTTATAATATTCATTAATTGTTTTAGGCAGTACGAGTATGTCGCGAGCGTCGACACTTAGCAAAGAAGAGATTATCGAAGCGAAATCTGAAAAAGTTGCCAGTTAAAAAGTTTAGAAAAGGTTTGCGGACTTTCCAACGGTGAATCGAAAAATGGCTTATAAAAATCGTATTATTCGCAAAAACTTGTTGGATTTCCCGAAATTTTTTCTCTTCACTCACTGCTTCTCGTTTTTTTTCCTCATTAAGCTGACGACTAACCTTTTTTGATCTCTTATCCCTCATATTCTTGCTTAGCCAGGAAATCTTAGTTCTTTCTAGGCTTTGCTAGAACTCCTGCGATGTTTTCTCCTCTTTGCTTATCTTTTTATCATTCGTTTATTTATTTACTATAAAACCGCTAACAACCTATCCAATAGACTGATTACAGTAAATCCGTAAAACATTATATCGTTATCTCTGATTCTCAGTTGTGTTCAGCTTGTCAGAATAATATATTGAATATCCATTGTTTGATAGATATAGTTGAGCACTACATTCGGATTTTTCAACAAATTTTTCAGGAGTTTATTATTTCATTTTTTTTTTTTCAGGTGATGCAGAGGAATCATGCGCTATATGCATAGATGACTTTGTCGAGGGTGAAAAGTTGCGTGTCTTGCCATGTAATCATGGTAAACTTTTCAGGTTTTTTGAACTGAAGGCAACATTCTTCGGAATTCTCGAATTCAATAAGAAACTTTCTTGTTTGTGAGATTTCAGTCGAAAGCATTAATGATTTATATGGCCATTATGGTTTTAGTGAAAAGCGTCAATGATTTATGCATTATTCAGCTTATCATTGTAAATGCATCGATCCCTGGCTTACGAAAGTTCGAAAAGTTTGTCCTATATGTAAACGGAAAGTTTTATCGTCGGGAGAATCTGATTCATCGGACTCCGATAATGATGGACGTGAACCTACATCGACGTCCGATTCTACAACGGCATATCGTGAAAACGCTCCATTAATTCGTAATGCTGAGGCGGTAGATTTTCTTGTTGTTTTTCTTGTTATTTTAAACAAATTCCTCTTAGCTCGAACACATTGTAATTTTTTTCAGGGAAATGGTAGATAGTAGTGTTTATTGAGTTTTAAACTGCGAATCATTTTCAAGACAATTTTCATTCCATTTGTTTATAACATGTTTGACTTTCCTTTTGCAGTTAGCATCTGGAAGTCCTTCACCACCGGCCCAGAGAGTAGGACTACGAAGAAATATGCAAGGTAATAAGCTGATGCACTACTTGAATGAATACAATAAATGAGAAATTCATTTCGTGGAAGAAAAACTTATGTATAAAAGCACTTTCCTCCAATTTTTACGTAATATGCTACCACAATATGTTTTCAGGTGGACGTAGGCCACCTTTACGCGTGATTATAACATCCCCTGCTGATACTCCTTTGCCTTCGCCTAGAACTGGTTATCTGGCTACTACTGGTGACGAGATTCGTGAAACTGGTAGTGCCAGTGCAATATCAAATCGAATTGAAGCAGTTTCTGAAACTTTGCGTCGAACTTTGCGTCCATATTATCGGCAAATTGTCAATAGATCGTTACGTGCCCCATGGAGAAACACTACGAGAGAGCCGGTAAGATTACACAATTGTATTGTTTATTAAAGACTGCAAAAAGAATGCCTTATAATACCGTCCGTTCCTTTCTGTGACGCATGCGGTACAGCAGGATAAAATGGCCAATAGTGGGTTTGTTTTGGAAATTTTTCCATTCTGGGAGTATTAGTTACGGAAATAATCGATACTTTTGGTAACAAGATGGCCCTGTTATTACTGACCTCATTCATTTTTTTGTTTCAGGAATGCGCTTCTGGTCCGACTGTACAAAGACCTTTTGTAGTCGACAATAATGCTTTTGATGAAAGCAGTGAATCACTAAATGTAGGTTTTTATTTAAAAATTTAAGCTCTTTTTATTTCATTTTCAAATCTATCGCAGTATTTTTGTTGAATGTAAAACTGAACCTACAGATAGCGGAACGCTTTTCTGTTGTTGATCAACATAACCCTGAAGCTGTAGGCATTTTTCCTTCGGAAGGAATCGCGGTGAGTGAAAGAAGTCCCTGTCTAACCGCAGCCTCCAGCGGACTAATTTGTGCCGATCCTGAATTAAAGATCGAACTATCCACTGATAATCAACAAATTGTAAATATTTTGTTCTTCCGAAGCTTTATTCCTTTTTTAAGAGTAATTAATGTTAGGAACAAAGCTTATAATTCCTTTTTAAAATCCGAACAGTTTTCGCCTCTTTCTATGTTTTTTACATTTTTGATTATTTTTTTAAGACTCTCAGCTTACTGCACATTTACTAGTGTACGGGAATTCGCGCTCGATTATCAGAGAGTAAAATCATGTCATAGTATGCTAGTCATTTTTGTTTTGATCGAACATGACTTACATGTGGATTTGTTAGTAGAGGGATATTTTTCCAGGTTACTACTAATGACAAAGTTTATAATAGCGAACCTGTTGCAAATGTTTCACTTTGTGCCAGACATAGGTATAACATTTCAATTTTTTTTTTGTTAATTAATGTTGTCTTTAAACTTTTTTGATAAGAAAATTTGTTGAAAGCAATCATGCTGGTTATCAAAAACTCTTAAAAACCCCAAATTACGATACGATGAAATTTCATTTTTTGCATTAATAATTCTGAGGGTACATTCCGCCTTTCTTTAATTATTTTATTAATTATTCGTTTTTCTTTAATTATCCGGTTTAATTACTTATTTGTTTCTTTAATTATCCTGTTTCTTCTTTTAATCTGATTGAATACACTTAGTTGAGAAAGTCTTTTATGTATTAAACCTGTTTATTGTAGCTCAACTCCTGATTCAAATTCTACGATTAACGATTCGATAGAACATGGTTCGAATGTTGGCGAGCAAGTTTTGAAATTTGAAACTGCGAGCAATATTCAACAAGAGAATGATTGAAACTAGTCAGAATAATTTTTTCTTTTCTTTTTTGCAGTTATCATTTTTTGTCAGTTTAAATGGTCGAGGCTCAGCCAGTTAGGGTTCATTTCTGAGTTATATAACGTCCACTGACCAGTTATTGGCAAAAAAAATTTACTTGTTTCCCACATTAAAATATAGAAGAAATTATAATTTCTCGATTTATGTGTAGTAGCTTATTGAATTTGTGGGGTTTTCGAAGAATCCTCAACAAATTGATCAATTAGGTGATGCTTTAGTTTCCATCTTGTCTCTTTTAATTAGTCTTTTAAAGCAGCTTGCTAAAGTTTTTCAATTGAAAAACAAGTTTTTCAATTTTTATTTTAACGGTGCAATGGATATCTGGTATATTTGTGAATCGTTAGAGTTTTTGTTGTACCTTAATTCCAGGTGTATTACTAAAAATTCTTTTACCGTGTTCCTTTTTCTTATCCATTATCTTCGACCTGATCCAGAAATTTTCGAGATTTGATGGGATAAGCAAGCATGAAAAACGACATGATCTACGGTGCAGAAGTTTGCTGCAGAGTTAGCATATCAAGCATCCATTTATAATATACAGATATATTCTATAAGCATTTACTAGAGTGCCACAAGCACTAATGCGGAAATATTGGCCATCATTTTTCATTCGATAGACTCATTGATTTATATATCTTAAAAACATTTTTGGAAATTTTTTTCTCGTTTTGCACTAAATGAATTTAGAAAGCTTGTAAAAAGTTCTGTTGATAATACTTTTTACTAAAATTCTTTTGAATTTTAAGAAGAAAAAGCCTTGCATTCATTACGAAGTTTAAAATTTACCTAAGAAAAATTTCATTTTGGATTGAGGAAGGACAGCATGGGTTAATGACAAATCTCGCCAGAAAGTTTTTTTTTTTCAAAAAATTACCGATAATTTTCATTAATGCTCACCATTTTGCCGACCTGAATTTCTTCATTGTCTTTCTACGTTTTTCCTTTTTTTCTCATTTGTTTTTGTGTTATCATTAGTTTCTCCATTAATGCTGCTACATATTTACACACATATATGGTGGTATTTTATGATTTCTTCTTTTTCTTAAAGTGTTTTTCTTTCTGCTCTAAAGGAGGTATTGCTTCTTCTTTCTCTTTGTAGTTACATAATGACAGGGAGCTCCCAATCAAAGTTTATTTAGGGTCTGAAATTTTCTCCGAATTTTTCTGTAATTAAAAATTTTCTGAATCTTTTCGTTTTGTATAATATAATTTTAATTTAAATGTTATCCGTCTGATTCGTTTTATACTTCTGATGCTTTTTTATAGCGTATGAATTTTATTTTTCGCTCTTTTCTGATTGTGACATTTTTAAAATTAACTATACTTGATGGAACCAACCATAGGCAAAATCTATTGAATGAGTTAATTTTTAGCTATGCACAGTGAGAGATTGCAATATTTGTATATGAAATTCGATGGTATTATTGTCACTTGTAATGCTGAGCCTGTATCATATACTCAAGTGTTTACTTCTATATTCATTCATTTGAAACTGTAAATATCTGTATAAAATAATTCACCATTTCTAGTTATTCTATTTTAATCGGCTTGCTTAGGAGGATATCATTAGACATGGGGAAATAATATTGGAATTAAACATTCTATGTAACAGTAGTATAGAAATTTTTTTTTCGCATTCTTACATAAATCAACGATAAATCTGATTGACTTTTAAAGTGTTTTTTAGTAAAGTTATATCTTGCCAATACACTTTGTCATACTAATTTCGGATGAACTGTTCGATTCGTTTTGATCAATGGCTTATCGTCTCCATGCGAAAATTTTAGGTAAATTGATTTGACTGATCGTCTTTGATGTATCATATGCATAGAAATTAAAGGCGAAAAAACATTAAGGCACAAAACATGGCGATGGAAGTGGGTCAATTTACTCAAATTTCTGACACCTACACCTATTAATGAAAAACCTTTCTGGAATTTTTCAAAAAATGATACCATTCATTCTTTCTTTTAAACATATTTATTAGTTTTTCAAATTTGCTTATTCATATATTAGCATTCTTTGGGGTTTAAATTTTAAAATGAGTAAAATTTAGAAAGAAGGTAATGTTTGCAAAAATAATTCTTTCTTCGTAGTATTATTTGATTATATAAGCATCAAAAAGTAACTTTCTTATGCAGACTTATCAATAACAATTATGAAAAGGGGAAAAATGGATACAATTAGGTTGGAGATTAGAATGAATGGAAGAATGTATGTAATTAAAATTATGCGGTAAAGATTGAGAAAATATATTTCGGTTCTGCATACTTACTTCTCTTATACATTCACATAAATGATGGATAAGATCGGATTACATTTAAATTAAATTAAAATACAAATGCAGAAGACATGGCAATATTGTCCTATATACTTCAGTTATTTATTATTCACTTATTTATATGTATTTATTTGTATCTATCCTTACACCTGTTTTTGAATTATTTGCCTATTTACTAATGCATATTCAACTATGAAATTATCGTTTCATCATTTTTACGCAAATTATTTGCTGACGGTGTAAATAATCAATAATAGTGGCATATATAGCAAGTAAACGATTTATTACTTTAATTAATTTTTTTTTACTCTAAAGTGAATTATTGCTCACTTAATTATTCATTTATTTAATTAAGTAATCAATCAAGAATTTTACTCCAATTTTTTAATAAAAATTATCCTTCTTTACGGTGTAGATAATAATTATAAGGAGATATTATAAACGAACAGGTTAATTATTTTATTTTTGTTATTGGAATACGTTCATTTATACATTGTGTTGAATTTATATTTAACTAATTTAAATACGATGCATGTCACTTTGTCATACTATTATTAAAGCATTATGTTTGATTTAAGAATTGAAATAATTACCGTAATTAATAACTGCTGAATAAAACATCCATTCTTTTTTTTTCTTTATACGAAATATTCCTTTTTCAATCCACAATCAAAATTATTCCAATAAAATTATTTAAATTATCAATTGTAAATGAAATAGCACAGTTATACAGAGGAAGTGATACAAAATAATTATCATTTGAAATCAAATTAAATTAAATTGATGAGTTAGGTTTAGCATGACATTTTTTGTTTTTTTTTAAAATCTCCGACAGTTAGTTATTATTGCTAAATTTGAAATTTAAATATATTGGTATTGCCTATCAGTCTAATATGATCTATTCTAGTCTAGTTCAATTTAATCTAATTCTAATCTGATCATTCTAAAATAAGTAATGAATTCTTGTATTTTCCTGATCCTTAAAAAGTAAGAAATATGGTAGATAATAACTGAGGAAGTTTTGCCGGGTTATCGATCATTTTTTTACTATCAAAATTTTGCAAAAAGGAAAAGATAAAGGGGAGCTGAACTTAATTCCAAAAATTAGAGCATTTGATCGGACTAGCATATATTATCAGAGTAGCATATATTATCATATATTAGCATATATTATCATTATCATCACTTATTTGTGTGTTGTGCATAAGCATATATATATATATATATATATATATATATATATATATATATATATATA